CACTTTATTTATGGTTGGTCTCCCATTTCCCTTATTTATTTAGTTATTTATTTTATTTTTAATTTGCTAGAACGTATGTGCATTTTCTGGAGAGAGAGAGAGAGAAAGAGAGAGAGAGAGAGAGAGAGAGAGAGAAAGCATTCCCCATGGAGGATGGCTACGCCCCAATCACTTGTCCTCCATTCTTCTGTCAGGATTTGGACACACATGCACATGTGCCCAGTGTGTTTCCCAGGCCACTGGGTCGGGACTTAAACTGCATAGTTGGCCAGGTGGAGTCCAGCAGCCTTCACCACCATGCCTTCTTATCCGTCCTATTAGGTGTGGTTTTCTCTCAGCTGCCAGTTTAGCCTCTCGTTCAGTTACCCACATATCCTTCTTTTGGGATGTTGAGGACCCGCAGGCACCAAGGGTCAGAGATGGCCGTGGGCCCCGGGCAGGCTGCAGATGGATCCTGCACTCCTGTACTGCGCCTTCTCCGCTGCCCCCTGTGGGGTAGGATGGGAAGGTGATGAGGCCCCTTGCGTCCTTACTAAGGTCCTGTCAACAGGAGATCATTGACGACATGTTCCTAGCACCAACTAGGTACCCAGCTGGTGCCACGCCTGGTTCTGTAGTCCTCTCAGAAACTTAAGGAGTGGACATCAATTTCTTTGTGTGTGTGTGTGTGTGTGTGTGTGTGTGTGTGTTTTCTTTCCTTTTTTTTTTTTTGTGTGTGTGTGTGTGTATATTGCTAGAATACAGGTGTGCTCTCTGGAGAGAGAAAGAGAAAGAGGGAGCGAGAAAGTGCCCCCCTCCCTCAGTGGGGCGTGGGCACACTGCAATCTATCCAGTCAGGATTTGGGCCACGTATGCTACAACCACCTGCTAGGGCTGGGAATTGGACCATGGTTGGCCGTATGGGATCCAGCTTTCTACACACAGCACAGTGCTTAACCATAGCACTACGAGGTTTGTGTTTTTTAAACGAGAAAGAGAGAAATTTGGCTTCTCTCTTTGACAGGGTCTTGTCATGCCACGCTCCTTCTGCTCCAGTCCCCCAGGCAGCCAGGACCACAGGTGCCCGTTACCATGCCTGGCCTCACCCGGTCAATTAGGGAAGCAAACCTGGGCCTCTCACACAGCCTGGGCCTCCGCGGTGATGCCCTGCCGTGGGTGCCACTGCAGGTGAACCACCAACATTCTTTCCCCCTGCACCGTTCAGATGAGAAAATTGTAGCGTGGACAGACAGGTGAAGTAACCTACCTGTTCAGGGCTGTGACATCCCCAAACAGTGCTGAGAGCCATTGGCCCAACTTCAGAGCCCACACTAGGTCAGAGTGATGCTCTGGGTCAGCCTCTCAACCCAGCCCTCCACGGTGGCCCTGCCCAACTTCGGGAACTGGATTTTCTCTTCCTGTGTGATCACACCGGTTCTGAATATGAGCCTCTCATGGATGGCCCAGTTGCAGATGGTTTAATCCAGGGAAGAAACTGGGCCTTTGTGTGACTTGACCTGCTTTCTAGTGAAATGCGAAGTACGTTGCAGCTGAGATTCGCCTTAATCCTCCATCACATTAGCCTGATGACACTGCTACATTAATCTAAGTGGTTAATGAGCAAAGTGGGTCAATCCAGCTTTAGCGTAAGCCAGGGCTGCTCTGGTGCTGCGGAGGCTGCCTTCCTCGGGGAAAAGCCTGCTGCCTCCAGCTCCCTGTTGGCAACATCCGGAAGAAGGAGCTTGCTCTCCGGGGGATGGCCCTTTCTGGCTCATGTGATAAACAGTTTATCTCACTTCTATGAATGTGCTTAGTAGAGGAGTTGTGGTTTCAGTACGTTAGAACAGCTTGAAGCTGGAAGTTTAGAATGTTCCACCGAGAGACAATTATTTGGTCAAAAACAATGTGGAAATTGTCTTCCCCCTTCTTGTGCCTAGGTGAAACTGAGTGATATTTACACACCAGCGCATGTACATACACGCTTAATTTTTGTGCATGGCAGGACAAAGTATACTGAGCAATTTCACAAGAGAATGATAACATATACACAGTAGGAATCGCTAATATTGGTCAAGTATATACTTATGTCAGGTATATTCTAACCACATGACAATTACAAATTGTTTTAAACTCCTGTGAGCTAGGTATTTTCATTTTTGTGAACAAGGACAAGAAGCTTAGAATAGTTAAATAAGCTATTCAAGGTGACACAGCTTAGAGGTGGCAAAGCCAGGATTTGAACCTAGGGAGACTGACTTTTAAGTCCACATTCTTAAACTATTAAGCTAAGCTGCTTCAGTTTACACACCTCATTTAATTTTATTTTAGGATTATTTTATTTAACTTTATGTATGAATTTACTTATTTTCTTTCAAATTTGACTAGAGAGGGACAGAAAGAGAGAGAGAGCCGCCAGGTCTGGGACTTGAACCACGGTCAGCCATGTGGGAGTCCAGTGCCCTTAACCACCATACCACCTGCCAGCCCCACCTCATTTAACTTTTATAAAGCACAGGTAGGTGATATTCTCATTTCACATCTTAGGATACTAAGATTCAAATAGGTTAAGTGTTTCCTGGTCACAAGGTATTAAGTGGTAGAGAGGGACTAGAACCAAAGCCCATTTAAACCAAAACTCATACTTTTTTTTTTTTTTTGAGAGGTTTTTGCTATAGGGCACGTGCGCTCGCCAGAGAGACAGAGAGAGACAGAGATATAGGAAGGAAGAAATCACCCCCCAGGGGGGATGGCCATGCCGCAATCCCTTCTCTATTTTCCTCTTAGTATTTTGGGTATGCACACACGCCCCGTGTGGGAGGCCATCAGGTCTGGGACTTGAACTGCAGTCAGCTACATGGGAGTTCAGCGACATAGCCATTACGCTAACTGCTGGTCCCCAAAACTCATACTCTTAACCCTTTATATTGGGTTGTCAGAAAAGTCATGATGGATTTTTTGCATAGAAAACCCCCCCCCCAAAAATGCGATTTTTTTCTGACAACCCAATATTTTTACTGGAGATTTAACAATCAGCCAGGGCACTTTCTCCTTTATGTATTCTTTTATATATTTATTCTAATATATATTCCTTAACAAATATTTCTTGGACCCCCACCATTGTTCTAGGCACCATGTTAGGTGTTGGGAACAACAGAGGATAGGACCAGTAGAGTCCCTGCCTTTGTAAAGCTTACTAGGACCCCTTCACATATCGGAAGTGTCTTGTCCCAGGAGGACTGCTCAGCCATCACCTTTTTTCTCTCTGTCCTTCAATTTCCCATCCCTGAGATGCAGCAGAACCTTAAACCAGTGGGCACTTGCTCTGATTGAGAAGAAATTGTTGTTTTAATGGCCGGAGGACACACAGCTTACTAGAGAGACAGAAAGTGGGAAAGCACAGTGCAATGTGATGTAGTCATGTTGCAATCCCTTCTCCACTTCATCCTGTCAGGACTTGGGGCACCCACACACGCTCATGCATCTGGCGTGCTTTTTAAGGTTCTGGGACTGAGACTTGAATGAATGAACCATAGCCAACCATAGGGTATCTGGCTCCCAGTGCACAGTGCCTAACCATTGCACCACGGGACCAGCTAAGCAGACGTTGTACGTCCTCTTCCCGACACGCACCAACCTCCCTACCCAAGGAGCTCCTCGTTCCTTCTCTCAGTCTTCCCCTATCATTACTCGGTTGTCTCAGTTGGTGCCATTTCCACCTCGTAGAGTACCTTCCTGCGGATTTACAGGAAATGTTCTGGAGGATGAACTAGCAGCATTTGCAGACGCCTGAATTCTGGGTTCAGGACTAATGTTTTAGAGCAAAAATTGCACAATCGTCTGACAGAATTTATGTGAAAAAACAAAAACCGTCAGCAACCTGTTGTTTTACAAGATCGGCTATGTTCATGTCTCTTTTGATTTCATGTTTTGTAATCAGAGTCTTACATCATTGATTCATGGATCTATGTGACCGTGATGTGTCAGCATACAAAAGCTTGTTGTTCAGAGTCACGGCCTTTACCTACTGTAGGTTGGTCGTAACAGTATTATCTTCACACTTGCTTAAATGAATACTGTGATAGCTATCTTACCTTTTCTTTCTCTGAATGGAATCTAAAGCTTCTTTAGTGTGTTTTGGGAACTTTATTTATTTATGTATTTATGTATTTATTTATTTATTTATTTTTGGAGAGCTTTTTGCTATAGGGCGCATGCGCTCCCCAGACAGAGAGAGACAGAGAGATAGAAAGCAAGAAATCACCCCCCAGGGGGATGGCCACGCCACAATCCCTTCTCCTCCATTCTCCTCTCAGGATCTTGGGCACACATGCACACGTGCCCGGCGTGAGTTTAAGCCACCGGGTCCGGGACTTGAACTACGTGGGAGTCCAGTGACATAGCCATTACGCTAACTGCCGGTCCCAGTTTTGGGAACTTTCTTACGGCATATTTGTATCAGTTTTTGCTTCATCTGATTTCACCTAATTTTTTCAATTGTTCGGGCTTCATTAGTTTTTGGAGTAAAAGCATTTTGTCAGTAGTTTCTGGGAAAAGACGGTATAACCTGGCTGGACTCACATCCCCTTGGCACATTTGCCCGGGCTTGGTGAGCCTGGGAAGGCAGGCTGGCTCAGGACTACAGACAGGGGATCTCTGTAGCCCCAGGCGCTACTGTTTAGGAAGACAGGTATCCCGGATGCCAAAGGCTTTTGTGCTTCAACATCAGGTGTTCCGGGCAGTTAGAAAGCTGGGGACCCTAAAAATTAAGAGGGCGGTGACACCCCCCACAGTAACTCAGATACACGCATGGCTTACTTTTTACTTTGCTCAAAGATAGTGGCATCTAGCTTCCAAACTTCAGAGATGTTAGTGCACCTTTCAGCTCTGAATGTATCTTCGCACCTTTGCACAGCCCTGAGACACTAATAAGAAGAAGCCGGGATTAGAACTGTTGAGCTTGAGGCGTGTGGCCAAGAAGGAGGCGCCTTCTGACCTGAGTTTGATTTGTTTACTTTTCTCAGGGACCTGATGCCCAGAACCCTGGACGGCCAGATCACCATGGAGAAGACGCCCAGCTACTTCGTGACGCGGGAGGCGCCCGCGCGCATCTCGGCCATGTCCAAGGACACCAAGCTCATCGTGGTGGTGCGCGACCCGGTGACCAGAGCCATCTCGGACTACACGCAGACGCTGTCCAAGCGGCCCGACATCCCCACCTTCGAGAGCCTGACGTTCCGGAACAGGAGCGCGGGCCTCATCGACACGTCGTGGAGCGCCGCCAAGCACCTGGGGCACTGGCTGCGCCACTTCCCGCTGGGCCAGATGCTGTTCGTCAGCGGGGAGCGGCTCATCAGCGACCCGGCCGGGGAGCTGGGCCGCGTGCAGGACTTCCTGGGCCTCAAGAGGATCATCACGGACAAGCACTTCTACTTCAACAAGACCAAGGGCTTCCCCTGCCTGAAGAAGGCCGAGGGCAGCAGCAAGCCCCACTGCCTGGGCAAAACCAAAGGCAGGACGCACCCCGAGATCGACCGCGAGGTGGTGCAGAGGCTGCGCGAGTTCTACCGGCCTTTCAACTTGAAGTTCTACCAGATGACCGGGCACGACTTCGGCTGGGATTGAACAGACTCGGGCTATGTAACTGACCACGTGGCTTATCTATTGAGAGAGATTATATGTATGTAAAATGTACAGAAATCTATTTTATAATAATTTATTTTTAATTCATAAGCAATTAATTCACTAAGCTGCCTAGCCACACTCTTT